AGGTTTATGAATAATACAGGCCTGAGAATAAAAACTAAAACACACAAATAAACACTGTTTTAGGCGCTTAGTGTCGCTGCAAACGGGCCACACGCCACAGCCACGCCGCCACGAGCAGCTAGAAGCGGCTACTAAAGTGGCTGAAGCGCGCGACAGCGGCCAACTTAGGTAAGGGTGAGGGGCGGGGAATCGCGCGAGTGACGTGTGGCGGCGTTTTGTATCGGCGCATTGAGTGGTCGGTGCGGGCCACAAGAAGCGAGCAACGACGATTTGTTGCGTGTGGCAGCCACCGACGTACCGTGTGTGGCGAGTCCATATAAAATGTATGAAAACTACAAGAAATATGCCGGTGGCGACGTTTTGTGGTTGTGGTTGGTGGCTCGTGTGCGGCGACACTAACTCTCCTTATGCGAGATTCTGTAAAAATCTGAACGGCTTTAGTGATAAAATTGATATACACTTTGATAATCCCAGTGCACTAACTTCAACCATTGGTAGGAACCTGACGGATTGAGTACCTGCGATTATTATATTTAATTTAAGACCCCTAATTTTGTAATGACCTTCTTTTTAGTCAAAATAACATATAATAGACTGAGAGCCAGTGTTCCGCAAACTTACGGTATACTATACCGTAAGTCTGCTAAAATAACGCAAATTTTATGAAATTTTGGAAACTATGATATTATATAAAATATAGTAGAAACCGGAGCAAGGGTCTGCCATTAAGTTTTTCTATAGAAAAAAATATATATTTTAAGATATCAAAACGGCAGTCATGCTGCGATCACGTTTTGAAAGTCGATTTTCGTGCTTTTCGACTTCTAGGCACGCCTAAAGGAGCCCTCTATGGGAATAGTGAACCCCCATTTGATCTACGGCAGATGAATTAGTATAACTAGCATTAATATGGTTTGCTACTAAACCGTAAGTCTGCGGAACACTGGCTCTTAGACTATAAGTAATGGTATATTAGGTAAAATTTTAACACTTACTTTGATCTCGATAAAATAATTGTGGTGTTTACCTTTTATTAATTGTAACATTGATATAAGTGTCTCATTGTCTATAATTGCAATTGCTTAAGTGTTAATAATAAATTGTTGGTACAAATATTAAATAATTAAAAAATATAAATAACATGGTTCATATATACCACCAGCTTGGGAACCCATTATACAGGAAATAAAATCCCAACCCCGAGCACACACTGCAAGACCAACAGATAATTAGTTCTTTTTGTTTGCATAATTTATCATAAGAAGGAGATAGAAAGCCTCTCTTGAGTTTGTTTCGCCGGTTCTTCTCAGAAAGGTAGTTAGGGTCAAATAAATAAACTCAAAATTACAAAAAAGAATTTTAAATAAAATACTTTATTAAGTAAATTAAATAATAAATTCATACATAGACAATAAAACTTTAAAAATCGAACAATGAAATAACCAAACGCTCAATAAAAGTTTTTCGAAGGTAGCTCGACAAATTAAATAAAATTTTGATTCTGACGACGTAGCCTGTAAAGGCTACGAAACGTCAATAAATAAATAAAGTTTCGTGCATTAACCCGTAAAAACTAGTTTTATTTAATGAGTGATGTGCGTGAAAACCTAAGAAACTAATATGGTTCGTTTATCTGACGCACAGAAAGATACCAAAAGGGATATTATTTAGTTATCTATTCCGCACGAGAAACAATACCATTCATAATACTAATAATAAGCCTTTAGCTATCATTTGACAGTTCAATAGTCTCCGGGACTGATCCACAAACCGTATTTCATCGAACATGGCCAGGCTGGAGAAGATCATGTCCACATTATGATTGTGTCACGATATTCACGATATCGTGTCGTACATGACCCGCGATGCCCCGCGGTCACTTATTGATTCTCATATTGATCTTGCGGTGAACTTGCGGGATCGATAATTTGGTAATTGCACTCGGTACGGAGGATTCCGTAGATTAAGAAATTTATTGTGATGAGAATTTTCTAAAAGGTATATATTTTCTAGTTGACCCGGTATGCTTCGCGCCGCCTCACAATCGATGAAAGTTGTATTCTTTAAATTTCTAAGCTTAATTAATTTGAGGTTTTTACAACCGCAATAAAAAGATTCAGGTTCTATAAAAGATTTTTAGTTTACTAAGAGAATTCAATTAGGAAGTTGAAGTGGCAGTGGGCTGGCCATATTTACCGAAGAACCGATAACCGTTGAGGTAGACGAGTTCTGGAGTGGAGACCGCGTCTAGGCAAACGTAGTGTAGGACGTCCCCAGGCACGGTGGAGTGACGATTTGCGCAAGATGGCTGGCAGGAGCTGGATGCGAGTAGCCCAAGATCAACCTGAGTGGCGTGCAATTGGAGAGGCCTATGTCCAGCAGTGGACTAGGATAGGCTGTTGATGATGAAGAGAATTCATACAGAGAAACTGAAATTTGCTAGTACCTCGATGGTGTATCAGCGAAATTTAAAACGGGGTTCATTGTTTGCCAAATATTTGCCCATTTTTCTTAAAACACAGACGACCCTTAATCTCTCAGTACCTTCAGACTGCTTGGTACATTAGGAATGATTCTATTCTTTGCACATTATTTAGAGAATCCAATGCATTATGAAAGCAGTGGAACTTTATTCAAGTTGACTTATCAAAAACTCTTTGCATCTTCCCTATATTTTGTTCCTACCACCAGTTTAGGACATCTGTTTAGCTGACAAGAAGAACAGGCGAAAGGAAATTCTTCACTTTTGATGAAGTAGCAACAGTACTACTAGAGGCCTGCAACCTTCATCATCATCATCATCAGCCTATTAATGTCCCCACTGCTGGGGCACAGGCCTTCCCTATGGATGGAATAGGGAGATTGCACCATGATTCACCACGCGGGCCCAGTGCGGATTGGTGGGTGCTAACGACTGCAGATGCAGCCGGGACCAACGGCTTAACATGCCTTCCGAAGCACGGAGGAGCTCGAGATAGTAATTTTTGGTCACCCATCCAATGACCGACCACAGCGAAAGTTGCTGAAGTTCAACGATCGCAGCCGCTAACCACTTGCGCCATCGAGCACCTCCTGCAACCTTCCTGCGGGGCAAATCAAATCTCGAATAGCTCAAGAAGCTGATGCTGGTTTTCAACCAGACCCTGGATGAAATAGGCCGATTCACTTAATAGTTTTAGCGAAATGGTTCATAGGGATAAGTTAATGCAGGATTTCTTAAGACGTCGTCAGTTATATTGGCAAATGGACTCCATTTAAATTTATATCCTTTGAGGAAGAAGTCATCTTTAATATGGTATCCTTAAGAGTATAATAATATTGACGACTTCTGTGGCCGAGTGGTTTGTACGCCGGGTCATAGTGTCGCCGCCTCGAGAAATCCGGGGAGATGTTTGCGTGATGAATACAAGCATTTGTACTCCAGTCAAGGATGTTTTATATGTATTTTCATATAAATATACTTATATGTGTATATGTACAGTATATGGTATTCTATCCGTTACCCTAGTATCCCATAACACATGCCTTACAGTGCTTACTTTGGGGCTAGGCTAATTGGTGTAGTGTTGGAAATATTTATTTATTTATATTATACACTGAATCGCCACACTCAAGAGTCAAATTAAATTTTATGTTGGTCAAAGCAACGGGTTCTTTTATGGTTTCACCAACGTATCAAAGTCAAAGGACCACAGTGAAATTACATTACCTTTGAGTGATTGTATTTTTCCTAAACATTACCCTTTATTAGATTTATCTGATTCTCAATTATTATACGTTACTGTACAATAATGCTTCATAATCTCAAGCTTAAGTGAAATCAAATTGAGGAGCTCGATGGCGCAATTGAAGTTAAGAACTTAGACTCCTCCGGGCTTTCGAAGGCATGTTCAGCCGTTGGTCCCGGCTGCATCTGCAGTCGTTAGCACCTACCAATCCACACTGGGCCCGCGTGGTGGGTCATGGCCCAATCTCACTGTTCCTTCCATGGGGAAGGCCTGTGCCCCAGCAGTGAGTACATTGATAGGTTGATGATGATGATGATGATATATATATAACTCTTACGGCATAATATACGCTAAAAAACCTTGCGAATACCCTCTAAGCTGCTTAGCGCGAAGCCGCGGGATCCCCGTTTGGAACCTCTCTTACCGACAGAAACACAACACCATCAAATGGCAGTGTCTTGTGTAAGGTGGAAGTTATATCCCCAGATGGGCGCTCCAAAACATAGTATCAAGATATTACTTAATAAAGTTTACAGTTGTTAACTTCTGGTTGAAGTATTTGTTTTTAGTCAATAGATCCCAATTGAGCTAAAAACCTTGCCGTATTTAACTTTTTTGAAACAGTGTTTAAATAATGATAGCGTTGATCCAGATGCAATTTTCACTTTATGCCAAGACACGTTGTGTACGGCGTGTAAATTTTTTAATGAATACGATGACGTTATTATATTGATCACTTTAAATATATTCAGAAACCATAATTGTGTGTCGTTCTTTTGTTTTCAAACCAAGTAATATCTCGTCACCCTCATCAAGTTATTTAATCTTTCTCAACCCAGTAAACTTTTATATTCACAGTAAGAAAATAATATTATAACTGAAAAAGTTTTCAGTTGCTTTACATATTAAGGTAGAAGCTTGATTCTCAAAATTATAACTCCAAATTAAGCTTAAATATCTTTTGGCACCGTTATTAGAATAAAGAAAATGCACTTATCTTATTTGGCCTAAAGATGCTGTGTACAGCATACACAGTCGATAAAGGAAACCACTGTTAAGTTATCACCTTCATATATTTGACAGCTAATCGTCGTTCTTTTGTTTTAAGGCAGAACCCCATTTCAAATTTAGAGTAAACAAAATGGAAATACGCCAATACTCCGGTATGTTACACGCACGTCGCGTAGCACACTAGCAATAATTAGCAAGAACGCCAGTATGGAGTTGAGCAAGTCACTCACACAGCATCATCTTACAACCAGTCAAAGGTTAGGACCGTGAGTTCGTTTTAGGTAACTGACGGTGAACGAATTTAGTTTCATATAAATAGGATGGATTTCTGCAATATGGCACACTCAAAGCTCATCCTTTAGTCGTGAAACAGCTTTCGATATGAAGCTGGTAATAAAAATTAATCGTTTTTTTTTTTTAAGTTTTATAGTGTTGTGTAGCGTTTATGTCCAGTGTTCCTATTAAATAAAACAAATTCTGTGGATTAATTTGAATAGTGACTTGAGTTTACAAACAATATAAGCGATTTCAATTACAACAGTCAAATGGACCAATCCGTAAATGATAAAGAAAGCTTAATTAGGGTATCACTACAAACACCTTTGAGATAAAAAGATCTGATTTTCTTACAAAGCCTACCGAAATACTGTTTCCGAACTGGTGTTAAGTGTGAATGTGTCGGCATGGAAAGCTGATGCATATACTTTATTCCTCTGGAACTCTGGCTTCCTTACCCACTCTAGGAATACAACAGTATGGATTTGTGTGTCTGCAAAGTTCACTATGATTGAATAAAGCTTTTTGTTACAGATACTAGTCCTGTCGGTTATAGCTTATGGCTATGCAGCCAAATTGGACAGGACGTACCTTCCACCTGTAAGCGCTGGCACCGCTGGAGGCAGCCCTGGATCCTTGACCGCTCCTCTGGGACCATCTGGACAGCCTCAGTCTGGTTTTGGCCAGCCTTCTGGGTCAAATTTCGCCCAGCAACCCAGTGCTTTCGGACAAAAACCAAGTGCTTTTGGTCAACAACCCAGTTCCTTTGGACAACAACCTAGTTCTTTCGGACAGAGCAGACCCGGGTCTTCTGGTTCTTCCGGGTTCGATCAGCCAGCTCAGCAATATGGTGCGCCGGCTGGACAAGCTGGTGGTAAACAACCATTCGGTCAAGGCTCGTCAGGTTTTGGACAAAATGAACCGAGCTCTTTTGGTCAATCTCCTTCATTTGGACAAAGCCAAGGTCAAGACTACGCACGTCAACAACCGGAACGCGCTCAAGCTGCCTTTGAAAAGAACGCTGAGATTTTAAGATACGATAACGAGAATGATGGAGAGACCTTCTCCTACAGCTTCGAGACTTCAAATGGAATTTCAGCGGAGGAATCCGGTGTTGCCACTAATGGTGTGCAAGCTCAGGGTGGATTTGCCTACACAGGTGATGACGGTGAAGTGTACCGAGTGACTTACACGGCTGATGAAAATGGTTATCAGCCCCAGGGTGACCATCTGCCGACCCCACCGCCAATTCCTGATGAGATACTGAGGTCGATTGAGGAGAACGCAAGAGCTGCTGCGTCTGGCACACAAGAAGGTAACAGAAATAACATTATATTGCTCTTTAATTTAACAAGAATATAAATGAAACATTACAGTTTAATTGGTTCCAATAAATATATATTGACTTCTTAAAAAATCTAACAAACAACGAAATCAAATAAAAGTATGTGTAGTAATTTTTTTTTTAATTAATTAACTATGAATTTAAGTATCGAATAATCGTTATGAAAAATTTTAAAGTTATATTAAGTGTTATCTGAATTAAACGTTATTTTATTGTTTCAGGCGCATACAATCCTGATGAGGACGAATCCCAAGGTGCACCTCAACAGTACAACCAGAGACCTTCTGCTCAGTACGGTGCCCCTAACGCCGGCCAGGGTCCATCCCGATTTGGTGGTCAGCCCCAAGGACCTTCATCCCAATATGGTGCGCCCAACGCTGGACAACGTCAACCTCAGTATTCTTCTCCCAATGGCAATCAACCCCAGGGACCATCTCAACGACCGGGACCACAATATGGCGCTCCTCAGGGCTCCGCATCTAAATTCGATGCTTCCTCAAATGGTCAGCGTCAAGGACCATCTCCGCAATATGGTGCACCCAATGCTAGACCCCAAAGTCCTTCATCTCAGTACGGTGCTCCTTCTGCTGGACAGCGTCAACCTTCTTCCCAATACGGTGCCCCTAATTCTGCTCAACAAGGACCTTCATCCCAGCCTCAAGGACCCTCTGCTCAGTATGGTGCTCCAAATGGTGCCCAACCCCAGAGTCCTTCATCCCAATACAACGCTGGTCAGCAACAAAGACCTGCTTCTCAATACAACGCAGGCTCTCAGGCGCAAGCTCCTTCTAATCAATACGATGCTCCCAATGCCCGTTTCCCAAGCTCTAAGCCTTCCGGTTCTTTCAACAACCAGCCGTCCAGGAACCAATTCCCTCAGTCTGGATCCCAAGGTCCCTCATCTCGTGGTCAGGCTCAAGGTGACGACAATGGTTACCAATACAACCGTCCTCAGTCTAACGCAGGATTTGGACAATCCCGACCTGGACAAGGTCCTCAGTTCAATGCCGCCGCCCAGCCTTCAGGACCCCAGCAATACAATCGACCTGGTTCTCAGGGATCTTCCTCGTTCTCCAGACCCGGATCTCCATCTCAGCAGCAATACAACAGACCTGGTTCCAGCGCTCCAGGGTCTTTCGGACCTAGTGGACCATCGGGGCCTGGTGCTAACGGACCCTCGGGACCTGGTGCTAAAGGACCCACGGGTCCTGGATCTAATGGCCAAGGACAAGGACCTTCTCAGGGATCATTCGGATCTCCAAGACCTGGCCAAAACAGGCCTGGTTTCGGCCCTTCGATGCCCCAGTCAGCGCCTTACCAATACAACCACCCTGGTTCTCAAGGGGGCCAACCACAAAGGCCTGGATCTCAGCCAACCAAGTCCCGACCCGGTCAAGACTTCGGAGGACCACGTCAACCACCCAGTTTTAGCGAAGAAGAAGGCTACAAATACTAAAACCAAAGTCAACGATAGTGAATTTTCTATTTAAAAGTAAGAATATGAAGCATAATGATAAAAAAACAAAAAAAAAAACAAAGAAAATTAATTATAGCATTTTGTACAGAAATGTATAGAACTGTCGAAAAGAATCACTGTGTGATCATGAATTTGTAAATAAATGTATGTTTATTTAAAAAACCAGTTTTACTATGAATAAACCAAACCCATTTTTCATGCATTCAAATTAAAGTTCCACATTATTTTGTGAAAAAGTACTCTAATCTTCTCTATCTTCCCAATGTCAATTCTCGTTAGATCTAACTTTGAATACTTTTCGTGATATTTTTATGACTTTTAATAATTTAAAAATGGCATTAAATCTTAACTATATTATGCATGTTTTATAAACAAAATACAAACCGAGGCAATCCACCTAATCAATACCTAAATTACTTGGTTAATGAATTTAATACGATCTGCACATTTTTTTATTGTACACCTTGTCACATTAAAACGTCTTATATTTTTTCTAATGAACTTACTGAATGCAAAAAAAATAAACTTAACTATGGTTCACATAATATCTAATGGCACAATGACACTTGGTCGTTAGCGCGAATACGAGTGCCAATGGAATTCGGGTAAACGACTTCCAGCCGGTATTCCAGTGCAATATTAAGAAAAGTTTCCGTTTATTGGTTTTCTTAACTAAATTAATGCTGGACGCCGGATTTGTGAAAGCAGAAACGACAAAACTCTTTGGACTAAGCAGGTACATTCATAACCTTAAAAATTGAAACCACAACATTTCTGGTGTTTTTAACGATGTGTTTCTTTATTCTTGTATAATACAATAATGATAATTACTATATTTGTCATGAAATCTATTAGAAATCGTGGTTTTGTAATGTAAATTCAGATAGGTTATACCCTACGTGCTTGCGAGTGTTTGTTTACTATTGTTCCCGTCATACCATAGATAATCTATACACTAAAATGGCCGACAGCGTTTTTGTATGTCCATGAAAAATCTATTTTAAAATAAGAGTTTTGTAGCTTTCTAGGAAAAAAAATTACAATACATTTTTTTTCGGTCTAATTGAACAATTATTAACCATTTAAAACATATTTCCAAAAAGTGTCACTAGCCTATTGGAGTATAATACCGATCTATGATGTGAGCATTTACTATTAGTCAACATATTGGGACATGATTACAAATCGGCAAACATAGGGTCCATTGTGAAACAGGATATCACGCACAAGTGCTCAGGCGTCGTGACTGCATCTAAATTCATAGCCTAGTTTCAATACTGTACCCAGAGCATCTCTCGAAAGTTACACAGTCTTAACTTTGACAGTAATGCCTAGTTCCAGTTATAAATTAATGCTAACATAAGTTTCTATTTTATCTATACTAATATTATAAAGAGGAAAGGTTTGTATGTAAGTATGTTTGTAACGAATTCGCTCAAAAACTACTGGACCGATTTTTAAAATACTTTTACCATTTGAATGCCACATTATCACTGATTAATATAGGCTATAGTGTATTTCCAAAAAAGTTAGGGTTCCGTATGAAAACTTCGATAATGTAACCCAACGTGTGTAAAAAATACCTAAAAATAGCCTTATATCGCCTACGCTGCAGAAGTCATTGACAATAGAGCAAAGTGATGTACTAAAGTTTTATATAGGATACCAATATCTATAAAAAAGTCCGCGATACCATATATCTAACTATTAGAGTTATGTCACAACCAGAGGTCCCCTGCGATTTCACCCGCGTTAATTTGAAGAAAAAGGTTTATAGTGAGTCAAACTTAAAATATAGGCATAGGCTGTCGTGAGATTTTTCAAATCGGAACAGCAGAGCAATATAGCATTCGATACAACGGGTCCTAAACTACGCAACATTTTTTTTACTTGGAATGGAAGGTTTATAATTATTATGAAGAAGGCCTTTGAACATAAACTATAGTCTACACTACAGCTCTACTCCGAAGCAAAGCGAGGGCGGGCCACTAGTATTAAATATGGGGATTTCACAACCTTTGTGTTTGCGTATGCAAATTGAAACCACAATAAGTATGAAATTGATGATTATTTACTATTGTTGCTGTAGCGGCAATATAAATATGACATACAGTGAAAAATTAACCATCTATCTTTTTATAGTTACGGTTCATTGATTAGATGACAGACGGATGGACTGGAAGCTTAGTAATAGGGTTTCGATGTCATTCTTTTAACAAGATGACCCGGAAAGAATGTAATTTATTAAGTTTTCTTACTCTAAACAGAGTTTTCTTACTTCAGAGGAGCTCGATGGCGCAGGTGGCTAGCGCGTTCGGCTGCGATCGTTGAAGTTAACCAACTTTCCCAGTGGTCGGTCTTTGGATGAGTGACCAAAAATCTTCTATCTCGAGTTCCTCCGTGCTTCGGAAGGCACGTTAGGCCGTTGGTCCCGGTTGCATCTGCAGTCGTTAGCACCCGCCAATCCGCACTGGGCCCGCGTGGTGGGTCATGGCCCAAATTCCCTATTCCTTCCATGGGGAAGGCCTGTGCCCCAGCAGTGGGGAGATTAATAGGCTGATGATGATGATGATTTTTTTTATGTTGCTGCTATAACTATAAGAACAACTGTATGTTAATCGCTTCTTATCAGCCATACAAGAAAATGTTTTATTCTAGTGTTTTTACCTCGAATCATTGCATAATTACAAGAAACATTGTAAATGAAATACTGATTTCTTTTAATAAAATACAGTTTTTTTAAGCTATTGCATAGATTTTATCGCGGGCTTTGAGCGCGGCGACCGAATCAAGAAATTCTGTAACGAAAATAACCTGACAAGAGTGCATATGAACACAATTTTCGCCTTTCCAGTATCGATCTAAACGGCGCAGTGTGTTAAATTTTTGCCACGGGACCAACGTTTGACGCATCACCGCGGTCGTCGGTTCAAATCCCGCACTCGTATTTTTTATTATATATATTTTTATATACTTGTTTTAGACCCCAGCACCTGTTCTTTTTTTTAATTGTCTCCCTTTTATTTAGACTTTATAATTATAATTTAAAGTTTTGGACTAAAGATGGTAAAAGAGGTCCAATGGGCACTTTTTGCTTTCGGGTCGAATCTTGAGGGTCCAATGGGTACTAGACCAAACTATGGACCTTGTGGAAGTTTTTTGGCGCCGGGCAATGCTGTTGTTTGCTGTACTTGCCCAATAAAATATCATGAGGGCCTGCCTAGCCATGTATTAATAAAAAAGAAAAAAAAACTGCATAAATAAAATAAATAAATAATTAAAATTGCATAAGTTGATAAAATGCAATGCAATAGCTTAACCGCGGCAGTTCCCGAGTGCCACACGTTTTTTTTTATTCATGTTTCCAGATTTAAAGAACAGCAGAGTTTCAAATGTATTACACTTAACCAGCTGTTTTTAGTCTACTTTATAAGACAGATGTTCAATCGGATCGAGTTCTCTAAAACTTGGGATCGATGAAAAAATCGGTGCAGAGTCGGATCTGATTCACATTATTAATACTCGTGTCGTCATAATGTTAGTGTGCTCAGAAGCGTTAGTGACGACACATAATTGCTGGGACGGCAGCGTGTGACGAGCAACGTGTCGACAGAGACACGAGGAGGTCGTGTGAACACACTTATTGCTCGTAAATAATTTATAGAAACAGTATAAGAACAGTATTATTGCTAATTGTAAGTAATGAAAACGAGTCTTCAACTCAAGAATGGTAGGGCACGAACTGGAGACCGCATCTAGATATCAACAAATAATAATAAATAAATATTTCCAACACTCACACCAATTAGCCTAGCTCCAAAGTAAGCAATGTAAGGCTTGTGTTATGGGATACTAGGGTAACGGATAGAATACATATACAGTAGATATATAAGTACATATCAAACATCCATGACTGGAGTACAAATGCTCGTATTTAACACACAAACATCTGCCCCCACCGGGATTCGAACCTGGGACCTCTCGAGTCGGCGACACCATGAAACCTGGCGTACAAACCACTCGGCCACGGAGCTCGTCAAAAAAAAGTTGATGTCTATATGCGCTCTGCGGTGTATGTTGTCTGCGAAGGGCTAAACGCATATAGGGGCGCCCGCTTGAGCCAAGCTTTTGCAGCAAAACTGCATGCATATCACCCCCAAACTTGACGTCACACTGATATGTCAGCAAAAACTTGACGTCACACTGATATGTCAAATCAAAACGTGGCTTATAGACTAGGATCGATAAATAATTAAAAGTATAAAAAGTGAAAAAAATATATAGTAGGATAAAACCCATTGGAAAGGTAGAGAATATAACAAAAATGAAAGGAAAAATAAATTACAGGCTTTCTGAGGTCGGGAAGGGGGAGGGGGTGAGTTTTTAAGGATAAAAAACGGTTAATCTCGATTTCCGGTAAAACTGCAAGTCCTATGAAAAAAAGTTAAATGGCAAAGTTGTAGGTAATAAAAGGATAATCAGATACTTTTTTCACATAACCTCAAAATATATCTTTTTATTACCTACAACTTTGCCATTTTACTTTTTTTTTATAGGACTTGCAGTATTACAGGAAATCGAGATTAACCGTTTTTGACGTGACAACGTCTTAAATTAGGTTGCGGCTGGGAGTCACTTATGAAAAAGTGTAACGCTCGGTAACGTTACGATGAGTCTCTCGTGTTAAGTTTAAGTTTACATGTACAATGTTTTAGTAAACAAAATATATTTCTATAGTTAAAATTTGTGCAATTCTTATTTTCATTCAATTCCTTGTTCCTATTGTGCAATTTAATTATATTCATATCAATAAATATTCTACCGAGAAAAAGACGTTGTCACGTAAAATCTTCGCCCGTAAAACCGACTTTACAGGCAACCATATTTTTTTTACCCTTAAAAACTCACCCCCTCCCCCTTCCCGACCTCAGATCGCCCGTAATTTATTTTTCCTTTCATTCATAAGACTGTCCTAAACGTTCTCAGCACGAACCAATATCGAATTCGAATAGTTTGTAAGTGCGAAATGTCATGGTAATTTTTTTTATGGAAACTTGAACAGCAACACCACTACGGACCTAACGAGAACTGTAAATCAGTACACATTTGACGTTTATCTAGATCGAATTCAACTACATATTCGAATTCGATTAATATAGACATCTCTTTTGATTACACGGAATGTAATAGTTCGTTTCTGGAGCAAGAACATAGTCGATTTTTAGTCGTTTTCTCGCCGGCTGTGGGCAACTGCCTTGAAGTGTGTCTAATGGAGAGATGTTTATACAGTTTTGCTCCCAAGCTGCATTTATATATAATAAT